TCTATATAAAAATATATAAAACCAAGAGGAAAATACATTTAAACATTGGAATATAGTTTTATCAAATTAATTCAATTTATTCTTATTCAGTATATTTAAAAGCTGTAGGGTTTTTGGTCAGCCTTTCATCTGCATTTTCATGGTTCATCCATAAAGCTACACCTCTCCTGTAGGCAAAAACATGGCACTAATGAAGCCAGTAGAGCTTTGCCGTTGAGTACAATGGGGACAGAAGTCCACTGTGGAAAGCTGTAAGGGACAGTTTCCTTCTATCCTTCTCAGTTCAGCATGTTAAGTGTGATAATGTAGCTAATTTTAATTTCTCAGATCTACTCCTCCAATTTATTTATTTTTCAATTAATAATTCAATTACATGTTAATATCTGGATTCTCAATTAATAGCTCAGAACAGTTTTTATGCATTCAGCTACTAGTGGTAGCAAAGAATATTCAGCTGAAACTATCTTGGATCTTTCAAGGTGGCACTTCCCTATACACCATCCAAGGACACCATCAGCGGGACAGCTTCCAGTGGGCTGACCAAACTCTTATATATCAAAGACAGAGGCTGGAGGAAGTAGTCCGCATGTCCTTTATTACCAGGAACTGATTACCAGACTGATAAAAGAGTCTCTAGACTCAACAAGAGAGGGAGCTGTGCTTAAATCTCCAGCATGCTTGTATGTACCACTCGTTTATACCTCTAAAACTGTTCAGTGAAGTAGCTCAGGTAATCCTGGAAGCAGTACAGTTGCACTAGCATGGTGCAACTAAAACTAGGTGATGTATGTATATGACATTTCATGTTTAAGCAGATATACTATAGAGCTGCAGAAATACATCTTCTCCCTTTCTCTTCTCTCTATACACATCTCTTTCTTATCTTCTGGATAAGAATCTTCAATGTGCCTGTGGAAATCTATGTACTTTAACAAAATCTCATGGATCTTAAACAATGAAGGATGAAGTGTTCAGATAACCTTAGAGCTCAGTATAGCTGGCTCACTCACTGAAGTGGTTTAGGCAGGGGACTTGACATGCACTAACATTCTTGATTTTCCTGAGGTTAAGTTGCTGCAACCGGTTTAGATAACGTTGGTGTGTATAAACAAGATGATGATAAATTAGGGATGTAGGGCTTGAATCACCTTTCCTTTACAGGGTACTAAGTCAGCAATAACTCTGCAAAAGGAAGTTGATAAGAAATGCAGACTTGCAGTGTGCTGTGAAAATTGTCTCACTTCCTTTAACTCTGTGTTGGCATTACTTTCATGGATATAGATTGAGCATGCAGTCAACAAATAAGCTGTTTGCATTATTCCTATGCTTCTCTGTAAAATGAAAAATGTAATGGTTAACTGTTGCCCTCTGTCCCTTTCTACTATTTATCTGTGCCTGCTGCCTACATAAAACTGGGCTGAAGGACTTCATGCTTTCAGTTGCATAGCCCAAAGGACTAACAAGTATTTTATCAGATCTGGTACCAATTCTCTGATAGAATAGAGACATATTCTCGAATTTAATTAAAAGATAAAGCTGTGAAAGTTCAAGCTGTTTTTTTACTTGATTTGGCAAAATTTGCCCATCCTAAGTATTTGCCTAGAGTCAAAAAGTGACAAGCTTAGCATTTAAAAGAAAAGTGTTTCAGAGCATCTAAAAGAAAATGAATTGAGGTTGACATGGATCAAGAAGGCGGCAACACCAAAGTAACAACATTGAGAACAAACTTACTCTTGTAGGTTGTGGCGTTGTTTGTGGACAAACTGGACAGCACTCTCCAAAGGGAATCTCTGGGTTGGGACAGTCCAGCTCCTGGTCGTCACAGATGATATCATCGCAGAGAACAGATCCCGAGTCGCACACACAGATTTGGCATGGCTCTGGTTTCCAAACATCCCTGTCAGCATAAACCTGCCCAAGATGGGTACATCCTGCGACTGGAAAGAAAGACAAAATAGTGTTATTTCAAATGTGTTTTCCAAATCAAAGATGAATAACATGAAAGCTGTTGGATAGTCTGTTTTGTTTTCTATTGTAATATAGTTTATGCGTGTGAAGTAAAAGACTAAATACTTCTCTTCAGACACTGGGAGGATCTGTTACATTAATTGCAGAGTCTGCTCTGAACCTATAAATAGACATCAATGGAAACCTCCTGGAGCTGATCCAAAGCCCAATTAAATCTGTGATAATCATCCGTCTTGAGTAATTCTAGTGTCAGACTGAGTTACTGTGTAATTAGCAATTGAATTCTCTGCTGCAGCTAAAAAGCAATCGTGCCAAATCTCTCAAACAAGTGTATCATCGGCCCCCATGTGCCAACATGAGCACTTACACATGGATGCGGAATAAGCCGTCTGTCCAGCATGAACTCTTGTCACTAGCATCTTGCATTAATAGCTAGCACCAAGTATTTTCAAAATGTTTTTTGAAAGCCAACGTATGCGATAGATCTAAAAGAATGTTCACATTAATTGTCCAAATGGTTTGCAATTAATGTGTCATCTGGCCCGCTCAAATGTTGCAAGTGCCTGTATTTTCAGAAAAAAATATTGTTCATTTGTAATATTCATGGCTTTGTGAATTCCTTGCAACAGCTGTTCTACTGATCAAATTTGTAGATAATGAATTTGAAGAAACTGACGAAAACCAGCTTAAAACATTAAATTTTGGGTTTGTATTTTCTTAGAGAAACAAAATCCAGAAAGCCCGGTCATTTAAGCAACCAATACGAAAATAACACTACAAAGTTAGACAAGTTCCTTGTAAGTTTTGTAGAAGTTATTAGAAGTCTCAGATTGCAAATATAAGTATCAGTGAATGTCTTCAATAATGGAATAAGATTTTTTCCCATGAATAATTCAAAGAATTCAGTTTACAAAGGCAAAATTCTGGAGAAAGAACTATTTGTGTACCTACATCGTCCTTAAAACTTTAGTATCAGAATAAGTTACCTACTACGCATCATCCTTCAAAAAGGAAACAAAGTGCCGAAAAATGTAATTCAAAGCTCTGACATTGAAATTACCACCGGCTCCAGACAGAAAATTCTGAATGCCATCAAATTCAGATGGTCATAATGGTCATAATGGTCATAATGGTCATAATGGTCGTAATGGTCATAATTATGTAGCATGAGACTGAGTCCAAATTTATAGCGCGGTCCATTCCTATGGGTTATGCAGTCCCTTTTTCTTTTCTCACATGCGGCATCTTTCATCTCTGTTTTTTCTCTTTTCCACTACTGTGTTAGCACACTGGCCTATTTTTTCTCTTTACATTCTTTGTTTTTCTTTCTCTCTGTAACTTCCCTTTTCATCTTCCCTGAATCCTCTTGTCTTTTTACCTGAACAGTTCGCCTTCTTTACTGCCATACACTCAACTGAGCTTAGTTTTTCAGACTCTGCTCCCTTCCCAGTGCTTTTCAGCTGCTTTTCCTTGTCCATGTTACCCTGACTTTTTCCTCTGTGTCACCCATGAAATTCATCACCTCCTTGTATGAGCCCTGTCAGGGCAATGGGGAATACAACCAAGACCTCCTGGCTTACTGAGTGGAGAACCAGAGGGGGATATCAGAGCAGGGCACTGCATGGGATGGGAGGTTTCTTTTCCCAATTTCAACCCCACTACAGCTTTCTGTGTACACCGGCTTATGTTATTTCTGCACTTCAGCTATAAAAGAAGCAAACAGGAAAATGTTGACTTGTCAAGGCTGACACTACTTATGGTTAAGAGTTGGTTTTGACCACCAGCTTGATTAGAACAACAAGATGTCAAAGCTTCAAAAAACCCTTTTCAGGCATTTTCAAGCCAGTATTTTTTTTCTGTGCCTGATATCAGGCTGGGAGCCAGTATTTTACCTTCCTTTGACAACACAAAAAATCTTAAAATCCAAAACATTCCAGTGGCATATGAAAACTAATCCCCCTCAGATATTTTCTGTCACTTAGAAATTCACTTTTTCCTTTTCCCTTCGCTTCTCCACCTTTTGGACCTCACCAGAAACTTCAGATCCTGCACAAAAGAGGTGGAGAAGAACTGCTTATTTCCAGGACAGCATCTTCCTCACACACACCATGACACAGGGTCACGGCATCAGATGCTGCTTCAAAGGACACCGCCTAACAGCCACTACCTCTGAAGACATCCTTTCTTAGTCTGCCAAGCTAGATTTAGTTTCTAAAAAAGTTGCTTGGTTTCCCAGCTCTCACACCACAGAATCATGTCAGTGGATCCCAGGTAAATAAGATGATTCTCTGCTTAATTAATTGCTGACTGTTTCTGTGAGAACCATTTTCCTCCTTTAAGAAACCAGGATTTCACTGTGGGCACTTAGGAAAAAACAAACTGCCCAGCCTTGACAAGAGTAATGACAAATGTTTCCTGACAAACAGGAAGGCTGAAATGTATTTTAAAAATGAGAAGTGCAGTGTTATGAATGAAATTTTTTTATAGTCTCTCTAATGACTCATGAAAAAACCTGAATTATAAAGTGGCAAAAGCTGAGCAGCTCAGTGTATGAGTGGTTCGCTGTATACAAGACCTAGAAAGCAGTATACTGTGGGAGGCAGAACACCATCAAAGCTAATGGGGAGGTTAGAGCTTGTTATCCATCTAAAAGGAGCTGGTTGGATATACCGCAGAGAGCATGGGTGGACATAGATCCACTTCATCCAAGAGCAGTGTCCTCAGCTGTCACTCTGCTTAAGCACTTCCCAGCTCCACAGGTTAAAACGTCCTTCTCATTTACAAATATAATGAGGAAGGGAAGAGATGATTTTTCGTTAGTTTAGGGCAAAACATAGTTTATACATAACTGTTAAATAAAAATACTATGATACAGATCTAAAAGAATTAATAGTTACTGTGTGCACATGTAACGTACAGTTATAGGAATTGCATACACATAACAAAATGCATAGCGCGCACACACTTCTGTACCCATAAGATGTGTTTGACTATTTTTAATATTCAGATTTTCAGCTCTTGGTTTCACTCTCTCAACCTTTCAAAACCACAGGTTTTTTTTAGCTATGTGTTTAAGACAGCAAGGTTCTTATTCACTAGGAAATTCATATCCAAGAATTTGCATTTTCATATGTCAATTTTTTCTTCATCCTTACTTCAATTTCATTGATTTGTTGTTTTGTTATTTCCAGAGATGTGATCCTGCTGCCTTACAGTGAAGAGGACAGCTCGAACGGGGAGCAGAAAAGGGCCATCTTTCCCATATTTTTGCACTGCTGGCTAGAAAAGATTCTGTTTTCAAGACCTCTGCTCTTCTCTGAATCAGAGGCTTTTCTCAGTGACCAATTTTTCACACTGAGAATACTCACCTTTCCATGTTTTAGTCAACAATATCAATGAAAATCACGGAAGTTTAAAATGTGTCACAAAACGACTGACATAATTTTACAGTAGTAGGAAATAAAGCAGATTTCTCTGCATTTTTACAAGGTTGTCGTTCAGTTATTCTACAGTAGATGGCACCATTTAACAGAAAGAAAAGACAAAAAAATCGAAGACATCTGGATATAATGACATTCATATTTGCTTCTAACTTTCTGGACATTGTTAAATGAATTAAGAAATAAGCTAGGAGAGCTGCAATGAAAATCTTTGTGGCCTTTGGCAGAATGAGAGTATTAAATAGGTTTCCAAAGGAAACTTACATCTGGGAAGACTTAGTCTGTTCAAGACACCCCCTCTGTGCTCAGATGTAGATCTGTGTGTCAGCATGTTATGACATAATGCATTTTGCATTGCTCATAAAGATTAACCATTAGCTCCAAAATCCTTTGGAAAGCTGATTTGTGCTAAAGCACTGGCAAGTAACATATAGGAATAATAAGGTTATAAAAAAGCTGACTTGCCTACTTCTAGACTTGCAGTAAAACAGTCACATACTTGCCTTAGCCAGCTTTTATTATTGATTCCTGAACATACATATTAGCCTAAGATTTAAAAAAATATTCAACAGTATTCGCCTATGGCAATGCAAAATCTTACTGTTCTTCCTAGAGCCCTAAATACAGTGGCTATACAGCACTTCACTTCTATGGCAGTTATTGCAATGGTTTGTTGGAAGCTGTGTCAGTCTTTGAGTCATTGTACAAAACATTAAAGTTTAATATTTGAAAGCCTGAATAATTTTGCATTTATGCTGTTTACTGAGCATTCACATTTTTAAAGATTTTGCTGTGAGTAGCATTTCCCTGGGCCAGCCTAAAAAGTGAAGAAAAGAAAAAAAAGCACAATCTTCATCATATGCTGGTTTTGAATTATTTCCCATTTTCTAAGCAGACTAGCAGCTGTATGTAAGCAGACCAAAAGGGAAAGCTGAAAGGAAAATCACCATTTAGTCTCAAAGGACCTATAAGTATGGTACGTAAAAGAGCCCAAATGTGTACAGGGGGAAACAAATATGGTTGTTGTAGGCCCGAAGGATGACATGTCATAAGGACATAATCCCAATTCCAGTGAGGTGAATGGGAATTTGTTATCTAGTGCTATGACCTGAGAAGCTGACCTGTTTTGTAGTTGGTTTTGGCTTTGCATTTGTGCAAGCACCGTGATCATGACTTAACCACATTCATATGGCAAAAGGAAAAAATCTCCTAATAGTATCCTCAAAAGCCACAGGCTTTTCCACTTTGGACAAAGCAAATGTCCAGCTATTGCATTAGTAGCAGACTCACATACCCCATTTGCAGAGACGTGACTAAATGGTTAGAAATTAAAGAACATCTTGAACTTGTCTGGTTCTGCCTCAGAAAGGGCAATAGTCCACACAGAAGTGACTCACGATCCCCCAGCAGCCGCTCAATGATGGCTTAGGAAGCAAAACCGAGGAGCTTTGATCTGGGAGAATCTGATCACAAACACAATGAGTCAAGTTTTTGCTGTTATTTAAAGTGAATTTGTTAATGGGTAAAGCACTGAGATGAAGGAGGCCTTGCCTCTAACTTTGCCTGGATCCAAGTCTGCTGAAGCTAAGAGGGGTCTTTCTGTTGCTTTTTATGGACTTTTAACTGTACAAAACCTGTGCTTCCTTACTCTGACCCGGTCTTGGCCATTTGCTTTACAGGATGGCTACTTCAAAAAGTGTTTTTACATTTCTTCTATAGTAAATACATCTATTTATTGTGTATTCCAGCACTG